TTCAGTAGTAGTGTAATGTAACTTGTGTTACTGTCATTAGTTTTGTGCAGGAGGCAGCAGCCAGGAACTTATGTTGAGTGGTCAGCTTGGCGCTTGCTGATATTGACATCAGACATGAACCACTCTGCCTATTTCAGGCTATTTGCTAGTGGATTTCCTAGTGTGCATGTGGAACTTGATTAAAGTATGGCTGGTTAATCCGATGTCAATTTATTCAATGGACTCTTTCCTCAGGCTCCCCGCTCCAATCAGGATTATCTGTCTCATATAGTTGGAAGCTAGTATGGAATATATCTACTTGGCGAGCCGCGACTGAATTTTTCGAGCCGTGGTTTTATGGATTTGCCAGCCGTGATTCCATTTCTACGAGCCGTGATTCTATTTCACCAAGCCGTGAATTCCATATCTCGGCCATGAAAAGCCATTTACGAGGTGCGAATGCAAATTTATTTACAAAGTTTATGCACGTGCATAGTGGCAAACCAGAGCTTTTTTAGAATCAGTTCATTTTTAATTTTTTCATTTACTCAAGATTTAAACCAATTTCTTAAGTATTATAATGCTGGTATCCAGGATACTTTACTAGTCTACTTATAGGACTCAAAAATGAACTTGAGGGAGAGTCTAAAAAACTCTCTGCTTTGCCACTATGTCGTAGTGAAGTGTTTTGAGAGTCATGTGAAGGCAACAGAACTTACGTAACACATACGTTTTTTTTCATAGTTTTTCATTTCTCGATGCGTCCTTAAAGTGTCGGAATATATCGCGTTTACGTTACCCTACCTATATTGTGGTTTCACTGGTTTGCAAGTGCCAAGTGAAAGCAATCCTTTCAACAGTGATTTTGATGAATTATGGTGAAAATAGGCAGTTTTTCTTATTTTTCATAGAATAATGTGGAATAATAATATATGTTTAAAAATTTCTTTTTAAAGACAACACTTCTATGCTACCTAAAGAATCCAGTGTCTCCAATGTTACAGATGTACAATGAATTTCTCATTTTATTTTGGAATATTGAAAAAAATCATTTTTCAATATATAAATTTTGTTCAAAATTATTTATTCTGTCAATTGATTCATGCATTGCCTCTGACTTCACACAAGTGTGCACAATTTCAGATCAATTGGACAGGTAGAAGTGTGTCAATTATCAGTTATAAGAATTTTAGCCTACAAAATTATTTTTTAAATTTTTTTAATATAAAAAAAAATTAATGTTAAAATAATTTATTTTGTCATTTGATTCTTGCATTGTCTCCAACTTTACGCAAGTGTGCAAAATTTCAGATCGATAGGATAAGTAGAAGTGTCACAAGGAATTTAAAAGCAAAGAAAACGCCAAGAAAATTCACCATATCGATATTGAAAACGTTTCGGAGTCCAGCTCCATCATCAGTTCGACTAAACTAAAAATGAATAAAATCACTTTAAAAGTCAAAATTCAAAGACAGACATAAAACCTAAACAAGACCTAACATTATATCTGAATAAACAGGACTAGTTATGAACCTGTCTCTTATACACATCTAGATGTGTATAAGAGACAGCNAATGTAATCGAGTCAGGCATTGCCAACCTGGTATCAAGTTTTGAGCTCTGGGTGCTATTGGAAGCACAGCAGTTTCTGCTTTAGCGCATTGTCTCAATTGTCACTGCGGTGGAAGGTGTTATGTAGTAGGCATTTTGATCCATTTTCTCATATAAATGTGAGAATATATTACCTTTCCAGAATTCCACACTGGCTTGCATGACCTAAAGATTTCAATCAAAGTACCTAAATAATGTGTATTAATTCATTGACAATTTGTCTCTAAGTTGAACACAACAAATTAACCATCAATCATGATGTTACTGTAATAAGTAGATCAATCATGATGTTAATAGAATAACAATGCTTTATAGAATCTATACTACCACGGCATCTAAAAATTAAATTGCTCAGCTGCAGTATGCTGAAAGGATTGCTTCACAATCTAGAAAAGGAACAAAGCCAGAAAAGCATTGTTACTTCATGTTTTTCTCCATATTTATAGCTGTCTCTTATACACATCTAGATGTGTATAAGAGACAGGAGAAATGTTGAAATAATATGCGTTTAAAAATTAATTTTTAAAGACAACACTTCCAAAGAATCCAGTGTCTCCAATCTTACAAATGTACAATGAATTTCTCATTTAATTTTCAAATTAAAAAATTAGTTTTTCAAATTTTTTTAATATATAAATTTTTAATATATAATTTTTTTCAAAATTATTTATTCTATTAATTGTTTCCTGCATTGCCTCTGACTCCACACAAGTGTGCAAAATTTCAGATCTATCAGACGGATAAAAGTGTGTCAGATATCAGTTATAAGATTTGGAACTGACAAAATTATTTTTTCAATTTTTTTAATATTCAAAAAAAAATTTTTTTATTAATTTTTAAAATCTTTTATTTTGACATTTGATTCATGCATTGTCTCCAACTTTACACAAGTGGGCAAAATTTCAGATCGATAGGATAAGTAGAAGTGTATTAAATTTTGATTACAAGATTTGTAGCAGACAGACAGACAAACAGACAGACAAACAAGAAGTGAAGTTAAAGAGAAGTGTTGTAAAAAAAGGATATAGGAATAGATAAAATTAGTCATATTCATGAGCATTTTTATCTAATTAATTTTCCAGTAGGCAAGATGAAATTCTAGGAATGTTTGTTAATATATTATTTTCAAAACACCTTGGCTGCGGCTGGTTATTTGGTCCAAAAATTTAGGTAAGATAGAAAGGAAGAAAAATGGAAGGAATTGAAGTTGCACTTGGAAGAATGAAAGTTGCATGCAGGATGACATTCTAAAAATTATGGCTCATATGTTCTTTTCAATCTACCTCCACCACTTTTTCAATCCACCTCCACCACTTTTTTAATCCAGAAATTTTAGATCTCCTTGCAGCGGTCTAAACCCGTCGTGAGGCTCCTTGCACTGGTCTAAACATACTCTGCTCAGGAAGAACAATCTGACTACTTAAGCCCATTGCAACTCCACCTAGAAGCTTTGTAATTGATTAACATAAAAAAAATGAAGATTTGAAATGTGAAATTGCTTAATTACTTCTGTTGGTTGCATGATGCCGTCAGTGATTGAAAAAATTATGTTGACTTACCTCATTGGTTGCTCAGTCATGAGTCATCTTTCCTTGGCTTCTCTTTTGAGCTTTCCAGTTCATGCCACTGGTGCAAAAGAATGTCAACACTATCACCATCAAAAAATGCATAATATCGCTAAAAAATATGCACCATATCACAATGAATAATATGTACACTGCAACAATCAAACCTCTATCACAACTTCACAAATGCTACACAAATTCAAATCTCTATCATAACTTAAGTCTTAAGCTTGCTGTCAGCTACGTCAGCAGTCCTGCCCATTTTGACTCATGACGGCTGCTGCTAGAGTGCTAGCTGCCAGCCACCACTAGCTTGTTTGATTGCCAAAGGCACGCTTCTCACCTAACTTCCTGTTGACTCTTCCTTGCATTTCTGGATCTCCTCTCATTGATTTCATACATATAGATGAGCAGAGTGATTCAAATTATGTTAATAAGTTATATTGGTCATTTTTTAACAGTGCAATTAATACAGTTTGCAATCATTTCTTATGAATTAATTTAGTGGCCTCTTGGATGTCAGGAAGACAATTTTACCTTCATTCCTCTGATGCTCAATTTTTACTGGCTGTAGCTGTAGAATTTAACTAAATTTAAAAAAATATTAAGCTTAAATTAAGTTGAAAAATTAATTACAAACTTTAAATTAAAAATTAAATTTCATTAAATTAAATTATTTAATGCACCTCATGGTACATGCCAAAGTGCTCAATGATTTATTTTATGTAATAATTACTGCTGCTCCTAAACAACAGATATTTTCTAAAATACACGATACATTTGAAAATTTGCAATGGGAGACGAAAGCATTCAGTTCTAATCTGAAGTGAAGTTGTTTAGACATAATAGACAAAATAGGGCAAAAATCTATGGGGGTTCAAATTTTGAAACAACTTTCCATCATTTAAATCTCAGTGTAGAATGTGGATCAAATTTATTTATTGTAGAATCGAACTTGACATTACCAAATCAAGGTGTGGGACCCTCCTCTTGGCGATGGCATCTGGTCATATGTTAACATCAAAGCAAGATGTTGCCATGCGCCACAAAAGATTTTCAGTTTATCCCATCATTTTGTGATGTTTCAAAAACTTTATTGGTGTTGGTGAAAGCGTGAGAATTTTCTGTGAAAATTGACATAATTTATTTTTCTCTCTAGAACATATTCATTGCAAAAATTTGTCAGATACTGATAAACAACTAGTGAATGTAATCGAGTCAGGCATTGCCAACCTGGTATCAAGTTTTGAGCTCTGGGTGCTATTGGAAGCACAGCAGTTTCTGCTTTAGCGCATTGTCTCAATTGTCACTGCGGTGGAAGGTGTTATGTAGTAGGCATTTTGATCCATTTTCTCATATAAATGTGAGAATATATTACCTTTCCAGAATTCCACACTGGCTTGCATGACCTAAAGATTTCAATCAAAGTACCTAAATAATGTGTATTAATTCATTGACAATTTGTCTCTAAGTTGAACACAACAAATTAACCATCAATCATGATGTTACTGTAATAAGTAGATCAATCATGATGTTAATAGAATAACAATGCTTTATAGAATCTATACTACCACGGCATCTAAAAATTAAATTGCTCAGCTGCAGTATGCTGAAAGGATTGCTTCACAATCTAGAAAAGGAACAAAGCCAGAAAAGCATTGTTACTTCATGTTTTTCTCCATATTTATAGAGTTTTGAAGGGAACTGTTGTATCTACTCAAGCTTGAAAACTGGTTTAAATTGGTTAACCTAAGACATTTCGTTTAATTTATCATTTGAGTTCCATCAAATGCTATTGATTTTATTCCACAGTGACTGCTCTTAAAATAACCTTATTTCTTTCCAGCCTTAGCTAATTCATTATGTCTATTTAACTGAAAATTTTTAGTGACTCTAAATTGGTCTACTTAATCAAATTCAATTGATAATAATCAGTGACCTTCAAAATCTGTAAGCAATGAAGGCTCCTGCTCTGTGCACTAGTGTCAACAGTGTTGTTGGTGCTGCTGCTGCTGTCACTTTGGCTCAAAACTCAACTTCATCTTCATTTAATGGATCCAGTAAAAGCAACAGCAGTAATAATTGTGCCATAAGCAGTAATATAAACAAAAGTAGCAGTGATGATCCCAACACTAATTGGCAGCATGAGATGCTCATGGAAAGACTGCGGACCAAAGCTTCTGCCTCACTCCTACGGCCATTGCTTGATTCGACTAAGAACATGCGGCAGTTCATCCTTGTGAGTTTTTGTCTAAATAAACACATCCCTTGTGGGTAATCAACATGAATTTCATATGATGAAATTTTTGCCTCATTTTGCTAATAATCAAATTTCAGCTGTGTAGATAGGAAATTTTGCATTCTAAATTTTGTAGCAAATTTCCTGGAAATGTAGTATATATATCTAAAGGCATTGAAAGGACATTTCTTATTCTTGTTTGTCAAGCATCAAGAATCTTAGTCTATGTCTATACCTACTGAGCAAGAGTTCAATTTTTACTCACAGCTTGTGCAATAGAAAAGTAATTTTTTTAATGTGATGCCTGTAATTAAAGACACATATTTCAGAACAAGCAACACCTCATGGATGGCAGTGACCGCATCAGTGCTTCTTCTTGCCTTGATGACCTCCAGCAGAACATTCCAGTTACATCACTTGAAGCAATGGTTGAGAGACTGGAGGCCACTTCCCGCCAGTTGGGGTTAGGAAAATTATTTAAATTCCTGTAAAGATATCTTTTGACACCACAACACATATTATGTATCTACCCAACCAAGTCTTTTAATAGGTACAAGGTCCAATGTGGGACATTAGTACAGATTTTGACACTAGTTGTTAGGATTAAATAATTGTGTTTCTTTTATGTGAAGTGCATTCATAATAATGAGTGATTTTTCAAAATGTTAAATTTTAAATTTTTGTTTGTTTGTTAGTAGATGATGCAATAAAATTATATTTCCATTTCACTTGGCTATGTGATCTTGCACATACCATTTTAGTTTGAGAAAATGTGTGGTCTAATTGTGCAGATAAATTACATTTTTGCTAACCTATATTTCACCATTCAACAATTGTATTTGTTTTTCTTTCAGGTTGAAATTCACCGCTTCACCTATTGCCATTGGTGAAGTGTACATATCATGTGACATGTTCTATGTGGAAGTCCTGCTGGATCGCGGTGGTGCCACTAGAGATGTTCGGGTTGAGTTTGCGGGAGAGTCCACCAATATTGATAATTCTGAACCTGGACAAGTGAGTTATTTCTCTCGCTGCCCTTCTTATTTACCTATTTACTGATTAATTTTTAACAATAATTAAGATTTGTATTGGCATGTGGAACTTTTAAATAAAAAGTGAATATAGTTTCCTGGTAGTGGCGTTAGGTAATTGCCATCATTGATTGGTAAAAGATCAAAATGCAGGGGAAAATGCTTCTTTAAAAATGGTGTGACCTGAATAAGCCAGAGTTTCATGAAGCAGTGATGAGTATTCAAAATAGTTGCCATTTATTTTTTATGTTTCCTTTAAGAGTTATGTCATGAGTTATGTTAAGTTTATTATATTTCCCTTTTTATTTTGTATTATTACTTTGTTATTTCACAGTCATGCCCTGAGCTGATAGACTGCCTGAGTCGCTGTGACTTCAAGGAGTTCACGACTCATCTCAAAGGCTTCCTTGCCATGTACACACTCAGCACCAGTGACAAGAAGGCCAAACTCCAGACCCAATATGCCCTGAAGGTGATTAATGCCTCCTACCATCTTGATTATTTATCTTGTTGTTGTTGCTCTAACGGTGATTAATGCCTCCTTCTTCTTGATTATTTATCTTGTTGTTGTTTCCCTAAAGGTGATTAATGCCTATCTCTTGATTATTTATCTTATTTATGTTGCCCTGATGGTGATTGTCTTCTTGGCAAAGTTGCTAAGTAAACAGAATTTTTTTATTAAATCTCTGGAATTTCAGACATTTTGTGTTATAATGTGTGTGCATGTCAGGTATCATAAAAATAATTTTAATTATGCATATGATTCATGGTGAAATCTGTAAGCAGTTGAAAATATGCTAGTCAAATCTATTGTTTGCTATTTAGTCTCTTCAGCCATTAATGATCATGAAGATTCCTTTGATGTGAGGTTGGATCATCAATCCTCTTGCTACTTTGGTTGGCAATCATTGTATGCTCACTAAAACCTGGTTACTTCAATTTTGCTGACGTGGTTTCAGTATCTATTAGAGGCTGCCTTTTGGGAGGAAAACCATGACCAGTTTGAGCTCTGCAGACGCTGCAGCTAATGTATTATCTCTGCAGGCGCTGGAGACGGACTTGTCAAAGCTGTTTGCGTTAGCTGAGGAGACCATCGGGGACCTGTGTAAGCTGGTGCTCAAGAGCCCTGTGGGACTGCTGCTGCCGCGCCGTGGAGGTGCGTTCTTTGTTCATTCTCTTCATGATCATATATGTCATATTTATTCTTCCATTATGGCAAGTGGAATATGCCCACACATGAATTAATAGTGTTATTTTATTGGATATTTTTGACTGGTGTTCTTTTCAAGCTTACAAATATTTATTATATAATACTATTGTTGCTTAATTTCTCACACCATTAAAGTTTTTGGACCTTCCAGAGGAAGAATACATTTGCAAGTAATTAGTTCTGCATTTGCTAAGTGAATGAAGAATTGGTGCTAACTTCGGCATAAATTTATGAATTAATTTCAGTTGTTCTAGTAGAGGTACAAGCCTTCTCTTCTTACAGTAACCCGCAATTATCTTCAGGCTGTATGTGAGTATGTCACGTATGCCACACATTCCCGTTGTGTACAGCAATAAGCGTTACAGTGCTATTCATATTCAATGCCATTCATATTCATATTGACAGGTCACAGCATGCGGCTGGTATACTTCATCTCCCCGTATGAGCTGCTGGACACTCGAGCTGGACGGTCACTGCCTCTCACACCCAGCACTGTGCGCACGCTCGAGTTTGGGCAGCACGCACAGCTGCACATCATCAGCAGCACGACGCTGCACAAGCTTCAGCACACAACACTCATGCAGACCACCAAGGGATCTGATGGCAAAACGTACGTGTCGCGTCAGTCAGAGAACTTCTGGCCAATTCTTGTTACTGGCCGCGAGTAACTGCTTGTGAATATATTTCACTCACAGGAGTCTTGATGTGGTCTTGTTCCCTCCCTGCTCACGTGCACCTTATTTCAGTCTCGTTTCTTCCCTGCTCACGAGCGCCTCATTTCAGCCTCGTTTCATCCCTGCTCACGTGCACCTCATTTCAGCCTCGTTTCCTACCCACTGCCTCTCCCAGCCTCATATAAGCATTGCTCTGTGAGGCTTCATATGCACGTCCACGATTGTCTGTGGTTATGTTGCTGACATGCTAGTGCTCGTGACTCTGCTTTTCTACCGTTTAAAATTATCAAAAGTTTCAAGAAAAAAAATATTGTATACACCAAAAGCAGTACCTACCACAATGATTTTCCACTGTTTAGCACAATACTGTTAAGAGTTAGTCTGTATACGTCAAGTTTCTGCTCCCTTCTCTCGTTGGTGAGTCACATGATTTGTGGATGTAGCTCCATGATATTATTAAGTTTTAATCTGATTTCCAGTAACCAAAACCCAAAAAACTTGTGTTTGCCACGACTGTTACCTTGTGAATATTTTGCGCAATGTGGAAATTTGTGTGAACTTTTGACCAAGGACTGCACTACAAATTATGTGTTGTTGCTTCTAATGTGCTAGTTGGCAGGTTCGTATGAATATATAATGTATGGTTAATAGCTGCTCATATGTTCGCAGCTTGCCATCGTTCTCTGGCCTGACATCAAGCAACAGCACAGCCATGCAGTCCGTGTTTGCTCTGAAGCTCCCCAAGCCTCTGCCTCTCTCTCTCACCCTCGCCAAGTGCATCGCTGACATCACCGGCATCACGCTGCAGGACATCACTGGTCTGTGCTGCAATAAATGCTAACTTTCATGCCTCTCAAAGCGGTTCCACTTATTCAATGTTTTTATTAGTGTCATGGTCTCGTCTTATGTATGCCATTTTTTGTACGTCATGAACTTCCTGAAATAACCCTAATCGATGATATCTGATCGCAATCACTCATCAAATATTCTTTCTAAAACTTTTGCAAGTCTAATGGTTGTGCAAGATCATCAGTTTGAATTGTTTAATTAAAAGTTAAGACTTAGGTTTAGCTGATACTAATTTTAAAATCATTGCCTTCTATTAATTTTGCCCATGTAAATTTTTGCCCTTCACGTGGTTTTGCCAGAAAATTACTCTTTTACCAAGTTGCATCCCATTTGAGGTTTTTGCTATAGCTATATGGTGGCACACAGTAAAGACCTTTTTCTGATTACATTAAGCCTTAATTTTGTAGATATATCGCTTTTAAAAAAATAATCTTTTGCCGCTATTTGCTGGACAATGAATTATAATGCTTAATGCGCGCAGGCACCGACGTGACGGAGGCCGCAGGTGCCATAGCCAACAGCTGCAGCTACAGGCAGCTGCTCGAGCTGGTCGTCTTGCAGGCTTCAGAGGACAAAATATCCCCTTCCTTTCTCGAGAAAGGATTGAATGTTGTGAGTATTTCAAGCTAAAATCTTTAATAGGTACACTCGGTTGCTAATGTTGCAAATAAAAACTGTACCAATAAAATGAAAACTAATGGGATTAATTGCAAATATGAATGAATGATAAGCTAATATTGTGACTCACCTTGACAACGATCAACAAAAAAGACGAGTTTTGGGATTAATTTTAGTTTCTTTTAAATGGTGGCCATAAAGTGTGTCTTAATTCAATGGAGTTGTGAAAAGTTTTAATGAATACAAATGAAAAATTTACCGCTGGTGGACCATAAGCATTTTCCACAGACTCTGATTTATGAAGGTTAATGATATGGAATACGATAATTTATGTTGTCAGTCAAGTGACTTCATTTATGAAGTGTTTGTGAAGCTTCCGCCTGTTACTATTGAAATTTACAATGCTTCTATCTATGATTTAGGAATTTAAAACAATGATTTGGCTAATGAGGCTGAGGCTCACTTTTAACTGGACAGCATTACAACTTAACAAACTCATTTTGCTGTCACTTGCCGCAGACGCTGCCAGACCAGCAGCATTGCTACTACTTCCCCACCCAAGGCTGTCACTTCCCCGGCATGCTGGTGAACAGCATCCCCTTCACCCACCCCACGCACATCACCTCCATCCTGGTGCTACTACGCGCCCAGGCAGCCTTCAACACCCTTATCGCATCGTGCGTGCGGCCCAACAGCAAACAAGGTCCTGCTTAGCCTTAGTAGCTCGTAGTAAATTGCAGTGAATGATGCACAGCGCCTTATATTAAACTATAGTGCGCCTATAACACCGTGGTGGTAAACGATGCACAGCGCCTCATAGGTACCGTATTCAGCTATAGTGCGCCTACAACACCGTGATGGTAAACTATGCACAGCGCCTTATATTCAACTATATTGCGCCTACAACACCGTGGTGGTAAAAGATGCACAGCGCCTTATAGGTACCGTATTCAGCTATAGTGCGCCTACAACACCGTGATGGTAAACTATGCACAGCGCCTTATATTCAACTATAGTGCGCCTACAACACCGTGGTGGTAAAAGATGCACAGCGCCTTATATTCAACTATAGTGCACCTACAACACCGTGGTGGTGAATGAGCTCAGCACCCATTGTTAATTATTAAACCACTAAGCTTCTGCAATAAATCAAGTACAACGACCAACATAGACTGCCCACCGATCATTCTAGCTACTTTTACAACTACCTACTAAGATGCTCTCTCATCTAAAGTGTAGGTCTTCGTACGCATGTCTTGGCTCCTCTCAGTCCTCTGTAATCATAAAAGATTTTTGATCATCATCATCAATGTTCCTGATCGCCTTACCACGACTCGCAGTAGCTGACTTTTAGTCACTGTTGCTGGGTTAACTTGCTACGTTGGCAGAATGCAATAATGTAAGAGAAGAGGCGACGTATCGTGCGAGTGATCTCTTCTAAGAGCCTCGCAGATACTGTTTTGCTCCCACTTATTCCTTCTGCTCGGTGCGATGTTAAGGCTTCATGTTCATAGCCGGTTCACCGCGCTTGCCGTTTGACGCGTTCTGGCGCAGGAATTTTGATCTGACATAGGATTTCGTGATCGAGTCCTTCTCAGCTGCGGTGCTAATGACTAATGGCTAGACGTAGAAGCTACCAAGTGCAACAGATGTGTCACTACCTTCTTACGTACCTATCTATAGCTTCCATGTTGCTTACCGTTTTGTACAAAGCTCGATTCTGGATTGCCTGTGAGTTCAAGCTACAATATTGTAATATCTTTATGTATATCAGGTTACCAATTGTGTTGAGAACAGGATTCCTTTATGCCCCCACGATGTCTCTGTTCCTTTTAAGCTACTTGCAGTAGTATATTTTACTGGCGCTTTAGCAGTTGAGCTATGCGTTGTTGTTTCTCTTCAGGGAGGTCTTCTGACATTTATCTATGTTTGTCAGAAGTCCTATGGGATTTTGCATACCTAGGGGCGTGGTTCCTGAGCGCTCACCACGAAGCTCGCGGTGTCTGACTGCAGGTTTCAGTTGTGGGGCAAAGTTGTCATGTAGGCAGGATTCCTGACATTCCACGTGTCTGTTTCTCTCGTGCGGGCGGCCGACGTCTCGTGTAAGTGACCTCTTGTAGGAGTGTCATCGTTTCTGTTGCTGTTCACCTGCCCCCTTTCAGAGGCTAACGTTGCTTGTTTCGAGCCAGCTTCAGCGAGCTGGACACTTGAGACCTCCCGCCCCTTGTGGGTGATGAATTATTATAAAAAATTCTCAATAATCGAAACCTTCCGTCTCGCTTGCGGTGTTTAATTTCGACTTCAGGTGCTAAATACCCTGATAGCTGGAACGCTTGTAAGCAGTTATACTCGTTTCTTACGCCGACTATCATGCTCGCTCGGGGCTCCGGTGGTGGTCGAGAGAGGGTCACCGTAAGAGGAGGTAGATGTCCAAAGGTAGGGAGGGTGGCCACACGTCTGCTACCTCCACTGGATTGAGGAGACGCTGAGGGTCGTCGAAAAAGGAGAGGCAGACAAAAACGGTATAAGACGACAGGGAACTGCAGTAGCCCGAACGAATCTGAGACCGCGCTTAGCGTTAGGATCGGGAGCAGCGAGACCTATTCTGAGGCAGTCGGGTAGAGCATCCAGGACCACGTTGTCCTTGGCGGTCGACGCAACGCGAGTGGAGATCTTTCTACAGAGGGACCTCACTCCCACTAGGGGTGGGGGGTCTCCAGTGCCCAGCATGCTGAAGCTGTCAAAAAAGAAGTAGCGTTAGTATCTCAAAGAGAAGTGGCAAGTAGAGACAGATGAATAGCAACAGAAAATGGCGCTCGAAGAAGAAGTAGCGTACACGAGACGACGGCCGCCCGCAGTAGAGAAACAGACAAGATGAATGCCAGGTGTCCTGTCAACATAACAACTTAATCCCTCAACTAAGACTCGCCGTCAGAAATCGCGAGCTCCGTGGTGGGGCGCTCACGAATAAAACGCCTAGGAACGGGAAATCCAATAGGATTTAGCACAGATAGCCGTCAGAAGTTCACCCTGAGGGACCTTGAAATTTATTAATTATCTAGTAAATATCTCGTTACTCGTAGCATTCAGCGCGTGACTGTTGTTCCTGAGTCATTCTGTTATAAACCTAAACTTATAAATGTAATTTATGGTGTATTATGCATAAATTTCTCCCTATACTAATTTAAGGATACTCTGTGCAGATGCTGATTCAGCATATATGTTCGAGGTGACATCATTGAGTCACGAGTTTATCTCGGTGACATTCGAGCATCCCCAGGACGAGAGCACGGCTACCGCTGAGATTGAGCTCACAGACCTCTGCAATATTCGGTGCCGTCTTCACACGCTCGCCGCAAACCCTGCCAATGGAGCATCAGAGACTAGTCTCTGCTCCGATGAGTTTGCGACCAAAGTCTTGCAAAGGTTAGAGTTTTCTTAAGCCTTACTATCAATGGTACTCGAGTCGCCACTAAGCAGAAAATAATTCATTTATGACTTCACTTGACACGACGCTCGTCAGTAAAAACTGTCTTTAGAACTTGGATTTATTTACTTCGATTACCTCATATTATCTAGGAAGCTGTTAGTTAATAACTAAGTTTTTTGTAATTTTTTTCTGTTCTCATCCATTCTCGTGTCTATTTATTTTTCGCTTGCTATTGAACTTATGTGTAACGTGCCCTCAGAGTTCGTTTGAACTAGACGCCACGATAACTGCTTCGGAGAATAATAATAATAATAATAAATTTATGAAATGGTTAGTCTATTGAATACCGGAGACAGTTGTGCTGCTTCAACTCTTGTGACGCCGTAAATTCATAAGGTCTATCCTAACGCGTATCACAGTACCTACTCTGTCGGCGCATTTCCCGTACCAGAAATTTCAACTTTTAGTGGTGGAATCGTGAGAATGGGAGGGTAGGGTTTGGTTTGTAAAATGTCGACATAAGGGTAGGATAAATTATTTAAATTTGATGTTTAAATTGGTTTTTGCAAAATTAAGTTGTATGATTATGAAAATGATTCAGGTAGAGGATAACAGGATTTCGGATGTCTAAAGCGGACAAAATTTAGACAAATTCAAGACAGATCTCAAACTAATCTCACACAAATGTCAGACTAATCTCGGACACATTTATTTCAAAGCTCCGAAAATTACATACAAAATCTGGAAAACATCATGAGATTCATGACAACGGGATTCTCTTATTGTTTATATTATTTATGCCGAGTTTACTGTGAGTATGCTCATTGAAACTAATGTAAGTACCCAGCTTAAACGTCGTTTCAAAAATCGTTCTTTTGTGCAGATGCCTCTCGATACCGGTGACTATGCGCGCTGTGATGCGCAAAGCCATGAAGGAAGACGTGAAGGACATGTTGCCTCAGTGTGGTGACTCCGTGGTCATGAGCGGTATGCCCTCTTCTGGAGCTCCTGCAGATTTCACCCAAAATAACAAGTTTGTTATGAACGACTACGATCGGCGCGGTGGTGCTGCCAGAGCTTCTGGCAGCACAATGGGGACAGGACAACAAATTCGAGTTGCCAGCTCTACTAGCCCTGTTGTAGGTCAGCAGCGGCCTGCCGGTGGTGGTGCTTCTCCAGCGATGACTCAGCGTTCCTCTAATGCGGCAATGGGAGGGAATTTTAGTGCATCTTCAGGAACTAGTATATCCAGCGTGGGCTCAACTGTTGCGTCAGGGCCGGCACTTGGTAATAATTTTTCGACCTCTAAGACTCCTAATTTATTTCCGAATTTGTCGTATACTCAAGTCAAAACTGAGCCAAGTCTTGAAAAAGCTCCTTTCTCGAACTTACTTCCCTCCGCCCAAAAAACGGCAATTTCACAGCATCATTTTTTAGATGATGTGAAGGCTGTTAAAGTCCGAAAAAGAAAAGTTATGGACGTTGATCGGAAAGGTGGGGGAGGAATGTATGGAGATGATGTAATTGAGTTGGATGATCCTCTAAGAGATCCCTTGGAAATTAGTGAAACTAAACCTGATGTTGACAAAATGCTTGCCTACGGCGTTGAGAGCTCACGTCGGAAGATGGATAAACTTCCTCCGAGTTACGAAGCAAGCACTGACACTCGCAACCGCCGTGACGGTAAGATGGAAAAACTTCAACATTTTTTAGCTAAAAGGAGAGCTTCCAATGATTCAACTGCGACTACGGCATCTTCATCTGCATTGAGCGACGCTGGCTCGTGCGACTTGGCTGCTCTCCGTGATCAAGTGTACGGTCCCGGCAGCGCTTCAACATTTGCTCAGTTCAACCTCGTGCCCAGTGACGACCACATCACGCCTGATGGCCGCGACATCACAAAGAAGAGCAAGAAGGCGAGAATAAACGAACCTCAAGTCGTTGAAGCTAGAAAGTCACCCATTGTCTTAGACCTGACTGAGTCAGATAATTCTACAAGGAAATCGTCGAACTCTTCTTCAGGTCGCATCAGTGGAGGAACGTCAACAAGCAGCTCGTCGGCTGTCGTCAACTCCTCAACTCTCCTCAAGCGACCAGGCATTGAAATATTTCCCATCCCTGGAGCAGCTACTCCCATCTCAATTCCTTCGTCTATTACGGTAACTCCGGTCATCAAATCCTCGTCTTCGTCATCTCTTGCTTACTCGTCCGACGACAGATCCAAAGAGCGGAAAGACCGAAAAGACAGGAAAGACTCCGACAAAAAAGACAAGAAGAGAAGGAGGGAAGACTCTCCTAGCAGCAGCAGCAGCAGCAAGAGTAAAGTGCAAGTTATGAGTAACTCGCTGAAACATTCATCATCTCTTCCGTCCATGGATAAGTTCAGGTCTGACAGCAGCAATAAGAGTAGCAGCAGCAATTCGGGATTGAGTAGCAAGCCCAATACTCCTCCTTATCAGTCGCCATCCAAGAATAGCAGTAACAGTAAACTTTCATCGTCACCTAACATTTCAAAGAGTTCATCGTCTCAACATTCTTCTAAACTGACCTATAGTCCAACCCATAAGTCGTCAAGCAGCAATAGTGGCACCAAGACAATCTACAGCCCATCGCAGAGTCAACACCATGGCAGCAGCAATAGTTCTCCGAAGCCTGCCATCAGCCCAAAGCAGCAAGGACTCTCACCTAAGCTATCCAGCTCTGGAAAGCCTAGCCTCAACGCTCTCAAGACCTCCACGTCTTCACCATCATCTTCCTCCAAATCAAGCCTCTCACCCAAGAATGCCAGTGGAACTACTACTAATAGCAGCAGTATGCCTGTAAATTGCAGCAGCAGCAGCAGTAGTAGTGTCGGCAATAGCGGGATCAGCAAAAACACCAGTAGTAGCGGTAGCAGCAATACTAGCGGTATCGTGAGCTCTATTAGTTCCAGTCAGTATGGAGCAAGTAAAGAACGAAGTTCAAGTTCTAGTCCTGCTCGTGCTCAGGTTTCGGGCCTACCAAATATTCTCTCATCCTCTAGTAGCTCTAGTCTGCCCAACTCGTCATCTAAGCCCAAGTCTTCTTCGAATTCAGCAAATATATCCAATTCTGGGTCGACAAGCAGCTCGGACAAATCTAAGTCATCAAATTTCGCTGACACCTTACCTAAGCCACCTATTAGCTCAACCACGTCTTCAGGTCAGTCTTTTTTTGTAGCTTCTAACTCATCAGTCGCGAACGCATTACACGACAAAGCTTCTTTTTTATTGGACAAGGCCAAAGCTTCTCCCCCTAAGAACCGGAAAGGTTCATGTTTGAGTGATATCGTGGACAAGTTGAGGGCTGGCGTTTCTGGTTCCACTGACCCCATTGTCATTGGGGAGACCTGCAATGACAGGAAAGAAATCACCAAAGTAGGGGCTGTGAATGATCTAAAAAAAGATCCTGATAAAAAGAATGATTACACTCTGAAACCATTAGATGGTCTCAAACTGAGTTTCAATAAATCCAAGAGTAAGGAACTGAAAGAAAATCAAATTAAGTCTTCAAATATGGCTTCAGTCTCGCCGAACTCTAAATTAAACAAGTCCACCTCGGGTTTGAAGCCTGGAGTGGTAAGTGGTCCTGCGTCAAAGAAAGTTTCAATGTCGAATTTGCCTCCCATACCAAAACTGAACAGCTCCACCAACATCAACTCAACGGCCTCGGTATCTCCACTGGCTTCTCCACTCGTCTCTGCAGCCTCCTCAAGCTCGTCATCTTACAACTCAGTGGCAGCGCAACAAGGCTACTTTTCCCATTACAAGGAAAGGGTCAAGGAGAAACCTTCATCTTATGATAAAACTTCCAGCTGTGATAGACCCAGATTGAAAGACATGTCGTCTCTGTTGTCATCTCCATCAACGTTATCATCCAAGTCTAATTCTGACGCTCGGCGTGAGCCTAGTGGTGCGGAGAAACATCTCGGTGGGAGTGTTAATAGTAGCAACAGCAGCTCGAATGCTTCTAGTTGTGCGTCGAACGCAACTATCAACTCAGCACAATCAGTCGGCAAATGTAAAGATGATTTCCGAGCTGATAGCCTACAGAGTAAGAAAGCCAGTGATGGAGATAGTCGATCCAATAGGACTGGATATCAAAAATCCTCCGAATCATCAGAGTGTAAAGAGAGTTCATATAAGGGAACTTCAGTGAGCAACAAGCCTACAGACATGATGAGCTCATCTGGATCTAGTATGCTGATTTCGTTGCTCACAGGCCAATCTCCCCCGACGAATAAAAGTAATGAATCTTTTAGACAGAGCTTGAAGTCGGGATGCGAGGAAAACGACACGAAATCAGGGCTTGCTGGTCTCGAATATTCTGCTACCATTAAGTTGAGCTCTGCTAACTCATCTCTAGCCACTAAACTCTCTTCTTCATCCGGAGATGATTCATGCAAGCTGAATGAACCGGAAAAATTGGTTAACCACGTCAATTCTGCGCCTACCGTGCCTGAGACTTTGAAGTCTTCAGGTACAAGTTCAATTATTCTTCCTAAGGCCTGCCTTGTGAACAACAGTAACTCCATTGCATCGTCGAATGCATTCAACAACTCGACCTCATTATCTGCGGGACGCGCAGTTCCCCTGAAAGTCGTTCCTTCTTCTGACAGCCTACCCCCACCACCCCCACCTCCTCCCCCTAAGCCCTCAATCAGCCCTAGTGCGAACTGCGTACCTCCTCCGCTCTCTCCTTCCGTCTCAATTAAAATCGTCAAGTCTCCAGCGCCCGCCTCGTCCCCATTAAATATGATATCTCCCTTGTCGATGTCCTCTCAGCAGTCGCCGTGCATTATTGACGACGATCTCATGGATGAAGCTCTCATGGGTCCTCGCAAGTGACTGAGGAACAACCTGTGGCTTGCCCGTTGTCTTCAGGCGAAGGTGACGCGGTGCCACGGCCAGATCTGCGGACAGCGTTGTTGAGGAAGGCAGGCTGAGCGGCACTCTCATGTATCTTCAGTATTTTTGAATCTAACGTGTGATCTTATTGCACCGCTGGGCAATGAATACGCAAAGTTAATGTTCACTTTTTAAACGTAGCTAATATGTAAGACAGTTCCGTCAAATACATGATTGTGTATAATTGTTGTGGAGGTAGAAACCTCGCTATTTTCCAGGAACAGTCTGTAGCAGATACACATCTCATTTCAAACTATTGATTGATATTCATTTCATTTTATTTAAGTTGTCATTCCGTTTATTGAACCTAATTTTGACTTTGCCATTTGTAACTCTGTTGAAAATTATTTCCCAGCTTAGACATCATCGTACCTCAACGTTATTGTGCCTTTTGAGCAGTTGCGCGGAGATGTCCAGCATTAATTGTTGGGCACTTGAACAAGACACAGTTGCTCTATTTGTAGGGCGCGGATAGCAGAGATAAATTGATCCGATTAGCGGAAAACAATGACGCATTCATCGGTATGCATCGTTTTCTTTGTGTAAGCTCACCAGTATTTACTCTCGGACTAGGTTAAACGCGTAAATCTAGCAAATTCGCACTAAATTTGGTGCCCGCGCTGAATGGTTAAATCGTGAAAAGTAACAATTCTCGTGAGGCTTATTTTAGCTGATTATCTTTATTAACAATAATGTTGAGAATTATTGCTAGATAGAAATTAAGGAGTACAAATCTTGTGTAAGGTGACACCGCGTTGCGTTTGTTCGATTTCTCGTGCTTCGTGAGTACTTCGCCTCGTGTACATTTGGGTCGCTCCGACGCATGCCACAATTGCTGATATTTTCACTCGAAGGATTTTTATTTACCTTAATTCAATTTTTGGCATATTAATGTAGATCATTTTCCGGAGATCCTATCTTAATTTATTGTCGTTTTTTCTGTTGTACGCTGGATTTAGAAGCACGTTTAAATCCTGCTGCTCATCCCAGCTAGTCTTGCGAGCCTCCATCTGCCCCAGGTGATGTCAATTCTTCATGTTTCCTCCAGCTGGCAATTCTTTACATTTCATAGGTCGACTTATGAGCGGTTAAGCTCTGTCAGTTCTAGTATTTTAGTATTAAATAAGTGCGCTTCTGATATTCTCCTTAGCAATGCGCAAATTTATTATAATTATTTCGACATTTTTTATAATTATGCTAACCGTAAGTAGTTCATCAAATTTCGTAGAATCTTGTGAAATGCACTGGCCTTCTCACGTTCTATCTGCCAAGTTTGCAAATGTCTATTTTTGCATGATCATTCTTTACGAGAGCAAATTATTCTTTTTTGTCGCAGCCTTACACACACACTTGCAGCCTTAACCGTCCATGCATCTCTTCTGCATGAAACAGGTGATTTGTTCATGCAGATCATGCATATGCGATCGTTGATCTGATGACCAATGATCGAAACTTTGTTATTCCCAAATTATAGTTCACGTGTTGACGCTCTGCTCGCTGAAAGTTTTAGTTTCATGCACAACCTGACAACACCACCAAAGATTATTTAAACATGTAAACCGACGCATTTTATCACTCTCACTTCAGGGTTGCTAGTCTATGTTCATGTGTGCTCCACGACACACGAGACTTCAAGGTGTAGGGAGAGCCACACTGTTCATCAGGCATTGAGCGTTATTCATGATGCAATAATATGTACGATTTTTAAATCTCACTACGTTATAACTTTGTTTATACCGTGTATCATCGTTGTTTTTAGCACTTCCTTGAGTGCGCTCTCCTCCAAATATGTTTGATATCTTGTGGTTTAAGTTGCTTTGGTTTGAATATCGTTTACTTGGATTATCTTCAATGATACCGAAATATTTAAGGTGTGACTTTAGACATCTGGTTGTAGATAAATCGCGATCAAGAGGTGTGAGGTACTAAGCACAGTCACTTGATGTTCAGAACTTGTAATTTGAATCAGTGCTCACTCTTATAACTGACGACTGAGCTATTCGTAAATGCTTGCCGTCTAGCGACACATTTTACGGTCTATAAACTTGTTTCCTGCTTGAATTATAAAAGTGACTAGTCGGTAATAGAGAAATTAGGTATCGAGGAGCACGTAATTGCTAGACACAATTCCTTTCATTGCTAAGATGTGATTCAATACATGACGTAGAATATGAACTTGACAATAAAAGACAAGTGAGCAAACAGAGGAACGCGTTTGTTTGGCAGATTGAAATTATTAGCTTAATACATTATGACCATTTAAGAGTTTTTTCGAAGAAATGCACCGCACTTTGCCTTCGGACTGTCCTGTCCCAAGGACTCCAGTTATCTTAGATAGTAAAAGGCTAGGGTAAGCTACATTGTAATCGTCATTTATTTGGTATCTTTCTTTTCGAAAATCCAACTTGAAATTCTAAAGCAAAGTTGGCGAGTAATCTTTGTATTGGTAATGATATTTTTAATAAGTTATATCAACATATGTTAATATTTTACTCTAATTATATTTAAGGTCTTAGCTTTGAAGTTTTATCGACTAATAATTTCGAGACTTGCAAGGCGGGTGCAACTCACGTCGGTCTGCTTGCGCACCTTTCGTGTGGCCTGTACCGAGGTACTTATTAAAGCCTAGTGTAATCACTTGTTTATCGAAGTGTACATATTTGTAAGTAGAAACATTGAGTGAGCTATAATGTTAATTTTTAGCTAAGAACAACTACATAAAATGGTGCGGAAGGCGCCGTGGACTGCAATGATTTAGAAATAGACTCGTTTGCTAGAAAAAATGAGCGTGATCTCTGCTGCAAGAGCATCACTTCTGATTTAGCTGATGAAGATTGTGTTTTTCCATTCCATTATTAATTTCAAAGCAGTGCATGTATATATGATTAATGATCGAGATGAGATAGTTACGGGAAATGAAAAATTAGATTATTAATACATTTTTTGGGTTGTTTAGATTTACTTTTCATTTCACTTTGAATGAATTTCTCATTATTGCTCTTGTGCCTTAATATCTTACAGATTTTTGCTGGCCAAACCGTTTCTGCTCCTATTTCCAACTAGGAAATCCTTGTGTTGAATTAACTGCCTCATTTGGCGGGTTTCTCATTTAATTAGGCTAATTCCAAGAGTTTGTTAGTGTTATTTTTGTTTCTATTAAATCTCGCGGCAAATACGACTATTTGTTACACCTACCGCAATTGCTTCTACTTGAATTCTGACCAGAAAATTAATATCCTTCATTTGCTTTTCTGGTTGATGTGTATTGAATTGCATGGTTGCCTGGTGAGGTCAACTCGGAGGACTCTCGCTGGGACGCAATCGTATCGTAATAGGATACTAATATTGCTAAATATATCAACAGGATGTTTATCCGTCCTCTGGATATTACCGTGGGTGGATGTCTTCTTTGATATGCGTTCTTCTATGGAAATAACCCATGGTCTTTCAGGTCAGAACTTCTACACTGACCTTTTTTCGAGTCTTCGGCCCTTGGTTTGGATTGCGATGTGCCTCTGCTCTCTTAAAATTTACTGTGTAGACAATTTTATACTCGGCTCGTGGAAACAAATAATTTCGAGAGCTCTTATTGAGTGCATGTGGCCTAACGGTTTGCACGCACAAATCGTTAGATTATCTAAACATGTTAATGGTCTCCATGCGTATATGATGGATACGTTCCTGCAATGCCAGCGAAGAAGTTCAGATTTTTGGAGAAAGGATGCGATTTTGGCTAACGGAGATTTGTTTTATTTCACCCCCGTGCATATCATATTAGTTTGTTATTTTGGCTAGCACATGAAGCTCAGTGAAGTTTGCCTTTTGGTATCGCCGTCGGTTTCAACAACAGAGTCGAGCAATTCGTCGTATTATTAATGAATACAGAGATCAAAGAAGTTTTTTTTTGTATACGAGCCATACTCGTAACGACGAGAATGAAACGATAGCCATAAGTTTAAAAAAAAAATTGCCATCGATTTTTTGTTGACAAATTGGGATATTCTGAGGAAAAACCAGGAACCTGTTTTTAATACATTAGGGAGAATGAAACTCGAAGAACGTGATAATCACTTTATACGTAGATTTGCAGTTGTAATTTATTGAATTTGATCCTTCGGTTATTCAGAAGATTCCGACGATCAAATTCGTTTTCAAGTACTGCGGCACACGGTTCAATACTACACCTACAGTAAGGACTATATGCTGTAAACAGTGAAGAAAATATAACATGACATCTATGAGACGATAAATACTCTTTAAAAAATATGACGTGATCTGTAAATAATTCGCAGGAGGACGCAATTGATAATTTAAACACAAAACCAGAGTAAATTGAAGTACAAATAAAAGGAAATAACTTAAATAAAACGGCTTTCGATGAAAAGGTTATGTAAGCGTGCTGGCTTTTCTATTCGAGTGTAAGGAATCAAATATGAAATAATAATTACACTACATTTGGAGACAACTCAGCTTAGACACCTATTATGAAGTGTTGCTGTGCAGCTGCATCACACGGTTGAGCGGTTGTTGCTGTGCAGCTGCATCACGGTTGAGCATCAGGTTACACAATCCGGTACAACAGATCTTTACGAGATATTTTTTTAACAAATGATTAAAACTTCGGTTATTAGTCTACATTTACTTACTCGTGCTTGTATTAAAATTCTGCTCAATTACATAGTAGGAAATTAACCTCCAATGTTGATTTAATCGAAACTCAAATCATCATCTAAATCATGTCTAATTACCAAAGAACAGCTGGGTTCTTTTTATATTCGAGATAATCTTCCAGTTTGAAAAAGCTAATTTCAGTTTCATTTTTGACACCACTCTGTCGGAGACTTACACCATCTTTCAATATAAGTGCTTCATCATTTTCTACGTTAATAACAGGGTCATTGGTTTTATATCCAAATGCTTGCGTTTCAATTTTCAGAGTATCATATGGATACTTTTTAAATGGAGGGGGAATTCCACCAGCACTCTGTAGTCTCTTCAATGCCAATTCTTTGAGGTCTTCAGTGGTGGCATCCAACGACACGCCCTGCAACACGATGTTCCTCAGGTTCCGGTGCTCGAATGAACGAATGAACCGAATGGTGATTGTCGCTGACATTTCTGATTCATCACTCATCGTGATTCTTCATTTACAATAATTATTTGTGTTTAAACAAACTTATCCTTGATCAAATATTAATATTTTAAAAACACGAATACTGATGGATACAACTAATTGGTTAAGATGATTTCGAAGTCGCGCATGAACCTGCAACAAAAAAAAATAATTATAATAATAATGTACAGCACTGGAATTTTTTAGTTGCATGAAAGTTTGCAGCTGAAATTCAAAACCTCCTATTTGGAAAGAGGAGTGTCGAATTTAAGATGCGAAATGATTACCAGTAGAAAATATAAATCAGAATTGTTAATGACGTAACTTGTTCGCAATTTTCATCGTAGCACACATAAATTCATCCCAACCTGCATCTTAAAATGCGCTTTTGGTCATGTTAATCTATGAAAACATTACAGCCATCTGAGCTGAAGTATCAACGGTACCGATTGAAATATCAACAGTACCGATGAGTCTATTTAATCCCAGGTCATTTTCGGGAGGGGAAGGAGCAAAATTAAATTGAGATCATGTTACAAAAGAAGGAAACTTGCTTTGGAACAGTACAGAGTGATGATTAATTATGGTGTATGAAGCAGGGCGTTGTTTCTGGATTACTCATTACGATGATCTGATGCATATGATCAAAAATGCACCTACAGCGTCAGTTATTAATTTCTGGGTTGAGCAGGAATAAGGGCATTCTCCAAACACACTTGTATGAGTCACAGAAACTTTAACACGGGTTAGTCGGTTAGTAAAGATCGCCCGAGCATTCTAGCGCAGTGGGCAGTGTAACAGTAAGTGTTCAATTGTCTCACAGGATCCGCATGAGCATAAAGGGCTATTTACAAGATTAAAACGGGCCAAATGTAAGCCCGTTGTGATCGTCAGTCCTGAAAAGATCCGGTCAAATGACACGATTTTAGAACTTCTGTGAACAAGTGCAGCAAATGTCAGTCATTCATTCGTTTAAAATGTAGTGCTTTGCCGCTATATTGTCTCGTTCGGCTCGATCAATCCAGAGTTTCTTATGATTGTAAAAACTGTGTTATGAGTATTTACAAGAACTTCAAAGAAATCAAAAATAAAATTAACGCAGCCATGAAAGAAAAACCTAAAACGGTGGGTCACGTGCTCGGGGGTGCTGGCCACCCCTCCTCCCTTACAGATAACTGTACCCCTGCCTCTTCCCATACGCCCTCACCCACCTCTTCCCATACGCCCTCCCCCACCTCTTCCCTCATTCCTAACCCTACACCTACTTCCAGCTTTACACTTGCCCTTAGCCCTTCCAGTGCCCCAACTTCTGATCCGATCGACATTCCTTCTTCTCAATTAGGCCCATACACTCCGGCTACCGCACAAACCCATGAGAATGGCGACTTAGAAGATGGATTGCCATCATCCCTTCTAGCTTTTCCAACCCTGTTCGAGATCTCGGAGTGTTGATGAGTACTGAAGCCACGTTCGATGCCCATATCGAGGAAATAGTCACGCGCAGCCGGCAAAGGATGGGGTGGATATGGCGGACATTTCGAACGAGAGAAGCAGCACCAATGATTACACTCTTCAGAGCCCTCGTGCTCCCCAATCTTGAGTATTGCTGCCAGCTTTGGTCGCCACTCCAGGCGGGTGCGGTGCGGAAACTGAAGGCAGTGCAGCGTACCTTCACGTACAGGATCAGCGGCATGAGGGAGCTGAACCTGAACTACTGGGGAAGGCTGAAACACCTGGAACTGTACTCACTGGAGAGAAGAAGGGAAAGGTATATCATACTGTACACTTGGAAGATGATAAACGGACTGGCTCCCAACTTTGAGAGTGAGACCTCCAAAATAAGGACATATTACAACGCAAAAAGGGGGAGACTGTGCAGGATTCCCCCATTTAATAACCGAGCCGCGGCCAGCCAGAGTACAGACTCTTCGTGAGGGATCACTGTCCGTGGTAGGACCGAGGCTCTTTAATGCCTTGCCAAAAGCGCTGAGAGGAGGGGAGTTTACCCTTGCAACATTCAAGAGACAACTGAACAAGTGGTTGAGCAAGATCCCGGACTGTCCAGTAATGGGAAACTACCATCAGCAAGCGACAAGCAACAGCATCTTGCATCAGCGTGCCCAAATGAGGGCTAATAGACGGAACACGTCCAACGTTACATCCGACGACGACTCGGAGACGGAGGACGACGAAGGCGGCGCATCAGCGTGACCGTGGACTGCGACGTTCTAAACTCATCATAAGGTCATAAGGTAAGGTCAAGGCACGAAAAGTAAGAATCGGCGACAGGCCACATCAGGCCTACTCTTCAGCGCCGACATCGCTATGTTATGTTCTGTTAAATGAGCTCTGACTCCAGCATGCTCAGTTCGGAGCCTGGTCAAAGCTGTCTCAATGGCGCGGTTACTATGAGAGGCCCAGGGCCATAATCCTACCTCATCTATAATCAAAGTGATAAAGCGGCCCTTCCCTGATGCAATTACATCATCCGTCCATAATTGATGCCAGCTGGTCTGAACACTATCCTGCAACTGCCTTACCACTTCCTCTTTTGGGAGTGAGGGTGCGGTGACCAAGCAGGTGGGCATCATTGTCTGCCCGGTTGGCGGCCTCATTGCCCTCGTTACCACGATGGCCTGGAACATACTGCATGGGCACCACATGAGAGGGCATTAGTGACGATTTTATTTTTTATATCAAATATTAGGCCTAGGTAGGAAGTAAGTTATCTATCTCTTATGAAGCAAATAGAGGATTGTGAATCAGTGAAAATTACAGCATTTTCTGACTGAAAGAGGTTGGTTTGTGACCAACTCAAACTCTCTTATTGCAAATAGTTCAGATTCAATTATCTGAACATCGGGGGCGAACTGCAAGTTCCACCCCCATTTGGAGAGAATTACTACTACAGCTGAGGTAGAATGGTTTGGAGTGCTCACACGAGATCCATCTGTAAATATTGCTGTGTGGCCAGAATATTTAAAATTAACAAGGTCCTGAAAAATTTGGGCAGCAGCTCCTGAAGATGTGTCTGATACAGTTGAGGGAGAGAAGTCAACTGAAAAAATAAATCCAGAATTGATCCAGGAAGGAAATGGGGAGATAAGAGGAGAGGTGAGAAGATGGGGAACTGGGATTTGTGGTGAAGAAAAGATAGCCCTGAGGTGAGGGACAAAGCTGGTTAGTGTTGATGTCCTCTGTCTCTGTGGCATTAGCAAAGAACAGATCTGACACAACAGGATACTGATGCAACTGTATGAGGCAGAGGTATTACTTGCACATTACTACTTTGCAGTGGACAGATAGATGAGGGGGAATACTAGACTCAACATCCATAGTAGAGACCAAGTTTGTTTAATGGCAGCCAAGAGCTATGCATAAACAGTTGTTTTAAATCAAATTCAATTTCATGAGATTTGTTAATGCTACAGATGCATAGAAGGCTGCTCCATAATCCAATCCACTTCTTATAGGGATTTTGTACAACTTTATCAGTAAAATTCGATCTGCCCTCAACTGACTGCCCAAGATAGACTGCAGTAGGTTTACAATTGGGATACAATTTAATTTCAGGGCATTGATGTGTGGTTCCCATCTTAGCCATGGGGCATCAAGAACCACTCCTAAA